GGGAATGGGTGATAGTGTTATGGAGGGGGGATACTGACAGGAAGGTGGGGTTAGTGTGTGGAAGGGGGGTTACTAGGAGGTAGGGGGTAAAAGCATGAAAGAGGAGGAATACTGGAAGGGGGTGAAGGTGTGGAAGAGGGGATACTAGGAAGGAGGGGGGTAATGGTGTGGAGGGGGGGGGGATACTGGGAGTGAGACACTTGGTCTGCAGCTCTGCACACTGGTGTCGGGTGCTCGGTCACTGCCCACAGGCCTAAACCGCCTAATTAGAGAGCCGCCTCTGGGGGATTATATCACTTACTGCTGATCACAAGGAGCCATTTTGGGGCTCATCTCCATGTGAGTGCACATTCATTTATACATACTTATCTGCACTTATTAACACAAACATGCTACACTATATTGCTTCCCTCTTTCTTTTGACCCTTTACATATTCCGTGGACTAACCAACAAGAATTAAGAAGCACATTTGCATCCGTAAAATGTTATTATACCACTCAAGCGCATATGTTGGAGCTAGAGCGTGTAAGTGCACTTCTTTTCTTATTATCTTCCACTGTTACAGATATACTACACTACCATCTCTCTTTTTGTTCTAACTTGTGTCATTTGATATCAGTAAACGTAAGGATTTTGAAGGCGTCACTCCCACCTCCACTTCATGATTGATCAAAAAATATATCATGTAGAAAAATATATAAAAATATAGGAAAAATATATCAACATATCAAATTGTTTGAAAAGCTTATCTACAAATATTAAATCAAGGCCATAGTCATGTACTGAAAAAAAAATCACTATAACCACTGTTTAGTACTATTTTTATAGGTATTTAATCAAAGGTTAAGTTTTAATTTCACAGGTTGCATTGTTTAAAAGTTATTGCGCTTTCACTTAGGAATTATCCCCATTCTTACTAGCAACCTTATTTGCTTTATATACTAGCTCCCCTTTTCTTGCCTTTAAATGCATAAATTTGTAGTTGTACAAGTAACAACTTGTCACTGATCTTAAGAAATCCTGTGAGGGTCATCTTACTCAGATTACAAATTACACACACAGAATATATCGATATATTACAAATTACACACGATAGATTACAAAATTACACACACAGAATATATCGATATATTACAAATTACACACGATAGATTACAAATTACACACACAGAATATATCGATATATCTTATCCTTCTTCCAGATGGGTAAAAAACAAATGATGTTTAAATTAGCTGCAGGTGTAGAGGTTTCATTCAATTTTAAAATAGATTATTTCTGTGTGTGTATTTGTGTGTATAACATAAACCATATTTCATGATGACCTACATCTTGGAATATATTAGTAATGTTATGAATTTAGAGCACAGTGGAAATGAATGGATAATAATGGATCAATGCACTGTGCTAGCAAAAATGTCTTTAAATATATAGATTCAGTTATATATATTTCTTTTTACGTTTGAGCATTTGACATTTATATAAACATTACACAAGACATCACCATTTAATCCATCTCAACAGTTCCGGATTCAGAGGGAGAGTCCTGATTTTTGGCTTCAGTTCTATCATGCTAGCTTTGCTCTCTAGCGCCCTTTCCCTTGGAGACCAAGTCAGCAGAAAACACAGTTCCAGCATCAGTCATTGAATTAAACTAAGGGCATTGAGCCCACACGATATTCCTTGAGAAGCACTCTTAATATGTGGTTTCCTGAGTGGAGCTAGCCAGTGCATCTGCCAAATGAAGAGCCACATGCTGCACAGCGTAGGATGAACAAGATAGTTATAATGTGGAATGTAGGACAAAACAAGGATAAAAAAACAAGGAGTACCCTTGTTTTGTTCTGCATTCCACAATAAAACTCTTGTTCACCCTACGCTGTGCGGCCTATGGTTCTTCATTTCTGGATATGTTTCGAGGTTAGCAAACCTCTTCCACAGAGCTCCAGTGCTACTGATACAAGTAAGCAACACTCTACTACTTATCTGAGTACGCCTTAGACTTCTGCTCACTTTTTAGGTGGCTCACCACTCTTCTGACGGATCTGTCCCTTCATTGCCCTATAACCTGTGGTCCACTAACCTCCAGCCCCCATCCATACCTTCTGATGTAGGGAAGTGTGCAGCAAGAGATGCTTCACTTTGTATTCTTAAGCAGTGAGGATGCTAAAGGGACCTATATACAGGCATCTTCTCAATCAAGAAGAAGTTAATGGCTATGTAGACAAAATGTTCCACAGAGACATAGTTAAAAGGGCACTGTAACTAACATAACCACTATCATGTTGTGTAGTTGCTAAAGTCTATAGTGTTGCTTATAGTCTATGGGCACCATTCCCTGGTGCTTTGTACAAATATTTAGGAGTGGGTTGATAATCATCGTAGCTTTGGGGATTGGACATTTTTAGCAGCAATTTTCTTGCTGAATTTACCCAAACTGTGTGGCATTGCTAAGTTGAAAATGCTGGTTCAACCTTTCCCCAGCACTTTCATTTTGTCATCACTGTTGGATGAAATTCACATTTAGAATGTGGAAGTGAAAATGATGTTCAGGTCTGCAGTGGTGTGCCTGATTCAACCACTTGGTAAGAGAGCTTACTTACGTAAATGATTAGTATAAAAAAAAGGGAATGTACAAAAGGGTGGGATTGTTTAAGGCAGAGATAGAGGAGCTGCATTTGTTATCCCTGCCACAACTGCAAGCTTAACAGCTTTATACCTGAGGATAGGAACAATGGTAATAGGTCCTATGAAGGGAAGTAATGAGGAGGCAGAGGTCAGGAGTGGAATACCGGAACTGACTACATGTGTGTTCATAGAAAGGAGGCAGATAACAAAATGCTACTTAGCATAAGGCCAAACAGTTCTGTACTACTGGGTATTCATACAAAGGCAATATTCGGGATAAGTAGAGAAACCACAATAGCTAGTGGTCCATTAAAATAAGCAGTGGTGGCCTGTTCATAGCAATTAGGGCAGCACCTCACCAGATACTTGTTGTAATAAAAACAAAGTCTATTACCAGTGTATAAGGAGTAAAGTACCAACTTTGTTTGCCTGAAGAAAATGCTTAACTTGCGAATTTCCATTGTAAATGGTAAACAATACACCACACACTACTGCCGTACTACAATTACCCCTCCCCCACTTGAATCACAGCAGGGCTGGCGCCACCGTTAGGCAAACTAGCATTCGCCTAGGGCGCCAGCCTGCTGGGGGTGCCCACCGTTATGTTTCCTGGTGGGCTCCCCCTGTCTGGGGCCGCAGCACTTGGAGAGTGGCTCTTGAGCTGCCCCCAGCGCCGGGCCGATCATCAAGGCACCTGAAGGTGGGGGCGCCAAGAAGAGCCCTGTCACAGGGGGGCCAGGAGGTGGCCATCTGGCCCCCGATGCAGTGCTAGGTAAGGCAGAGCAGGCACCTGCTTATCTTGATGGCAGGTGCCTGCTCTGCCAACAAATGGCGGTGACCTGAGTAGAGGGGGGCGGAGAAGGCAGGGGGCGAGGGAACAGTTCTTGCAGCCTCTTACTACTCCCTCGCGCGCGCCCTCTGTAATCCCGGGACCCGGAATATGATGTCATGTGTGTGTGTCAGTCAGTGTATGTCTGTAAGTGAGTGTGTTTGTGTGTCTGTCAAGGAGTGTCTGTCAGTGAATGTCTGTGTGTGTCTGTCAGTGAGTTTATGTATGTCAGTGAGTAAGTGTATATCTGTAAGTGAGTGTGTGTTTGTGTGTCTGTCAGTGAGTGAGTATATGTCTATCAGAAAGTGTCTGTCTGTGTGTGTGTGTGTGTGTGTCTGTCTGTCAGTGAGTGTTTGTGTCTATCAATGAGTGTATGTCTGCCCCGACAAGAATAATGTAGACTAGTAAAGTTAGGAAATGGTCAGGTCAGGTAGATGGATATTCAAATCAAAATCAAGAAAAATAACATAAGAGAAGCCAGCGCTGTAAGCAGAATAGATAACAGCAGAAAGGGTCAGACAAAAACACAGGAATAGGTAATGCAGGAAAACATGACCAGGAATGTAATATGTAGCCAACTGAGCTAAAGAAAGGACCCATGATCCAAACCAAAATGCACAGGTAGCTTACATTGAAAACGAATCACACTTCCTAGACATTTATTATAACATCATTCATACCTATATTGTGCAACTGCACAATTAATTCAGATACCTCGCACATGTGTTCAAGGCACTGAAGGGGTTATCAGTGTGGTAGCATCTGCCCAAGCACTTTATTAAGACAAACCACCGTGTATGTTGCAGCTGAGGAGGCCTGCTGCAGGTAAATTCTGCTTGAGCGGAATAGGGGGGACAGAAAGACTGGTGAGAGACACCTATACCCACTCTGTAATGCCATGTCCAGATGGGTGCGGTGTTACAATATTATTAACAAAGCTTTTATATTTGTTAGCAAATGTGGGCCATGGAAAAACTGCTCAATCAGGATGTTTCAAAGCAGATTGCTGAACAGAACATTGATTATAGCAGCCTCATACTGAGAGCCAAACATCAATCTGCTGGGAAATATCACACACTGCCAGTTGATGACCAGCTTTCAGCTTCCACCTGGTTTGTTCAGATGTTTGGATTCTCAGTTAAGGATGCATAGGGTTATGATGACAAATCAGCACCATATGCCATAGACATTCTTCACATGATTTGCTTTGTTTTATGTATTGGAAAAGGTAGCAGGAGACCGAAGTACAGAGAGGAACTGCAGTGTAGTCTACAAATAGAGAGATAAACACGTACCACACATTATGGTTTATGTAACTCGGCAAATATACCAAACCTCCCTTTCTATCTATTAAATTATTCATCAATAAATTATTATATTATTAAGATATCCATAGGAATTCCAGAATTATTATAAATATTGCACAACTTTTTTCGACATATACAGTTACATATTTACCTGCAACCCAGATTCAAATCTGACAACCTTACCAGTAAGTATCCCTGGACAAGACACCCAATGAGAGAGAAATATATCTTCCAGGACTCTCTTCATATCCCATTTCTATAACTGTAAAGTGCTACAGTGTTGGTACTGCATAAAAAAATAATAATAACAGTAAACACAAGAAGAGAGAAAAATCTGATCATAAAAGTAACAAAAATATTTTGTCAAAGAAAATGCCTATGAAATACAAAGCAGAAGTCCATGATGCTATTTTATATCTATTCAAGAACATTAATGCTTGGTTATATCTTAGAAGGCAGAACAATTTGTTTAAATGAGGAGTACACAACATTAAAAGCTCATATTGTCAGACTTTCATTGTTATAACCATGGTGTAAGTTGAGATCCTAAATTTATGCATTACTCTTTCTGCTCCTGGTAATAGGTATCCAGCAGATACTGGGCACTCTGTGCAATGATGCACCACATGATGTCACATGACTCTGTACCATCAGATGACTGGCACTCAGCTGCAGAGAGCATCTGAGGTTACCAGTTAATGTTGTGTGGGAAAACTGATACAATATACCAATCCACTTTCAAGCTGCTGGCTTCTTCATGTAGTCTATAACATTCCAAAGAAGCATTTTTTTCCCACAGAGATATTTATGGCGGTTCTTGGAAAGAGTATTTTAGAGGGATGTGTTAATCAATAATAAACTATTCTTGCATTTTGAAAAACTGGTATGTGCCAGTCACCTGGCAATCTCTTATATATTGCTATGTTTAGGAACTTGAAGGTCAAAAATGCATAAGGATTGTTTATTTTATTTTTCCCCAGTGATGTCCTTTGCTGGCGATTTTTCAAATGCTTGTTTTTGTGACGTTTTTTGTTCTTTTGTGCCATCAAGGTCCAGTCTTCAGTGGATACCAGACAAGAGACCAAGACTTGAAAAGTGTTTTTTTTGTTTTGTTTGATATATACTGATGCTGCATTTTCCCAGGGTCATGCTAAAGTTGGTTACCAATAAATATTAATTATCTGATCTCTTGGGCATCCACACACATACTAATTGAAGATGGCTTTGTGGCAAATCCTGCATGGTGAATAAAGTTAAATATCAGATGAGCGTCATAGATTTAAAATTATGATTTAATTAAAGTTTACAGGGAGTGATTTTAAATGTTAAAATTCATGACACTTGGGGTTACAATTGGGTTTTAATACTAACACATTTGGAAAGTTTGTGGAAGAGCTCTCCAATCTGGTGTAATCACACTTCTACAATTGATTTATTATCTTAATACATTGTATATACACTGTTTACAATGTAATAGTCAAGTGAGGTAAATGTAACAAAAGTATGTTAGCTACAGCAAAATCCAAGCTAAAGTTAAATTATTTGTAAAGTGTCTCAAAAAAGGCTTTAATCACCATGTTAAACAGTTACATGAGCCGAAAAGAGACGTGTCCATCAAGTTCACATCTGTTTTCTGTCAAAAGAAGGCAAAAAAAAAATCCAATTTTTATTTTGGGGAATCCTTCTTAGCCCCAGAATGGCAGTCAGATTTATTCTTGGATCAAGAAGCGATTACCCCATGTCCCTGGATGTTTTTGCAAGCATCCAGTTGCCGTTTAAACATCTGTACAGACTCTGATAAAACCACTTCTTCAGGCAGAGCAGAGAATTCCACATCCTTATTGTTTTTACTGTAAAAAAAACCAACAACTTATTTTTGCCTTAGACTAAATGTCCTTTCTAATCTAAGCACTCATTTCCCCAGTTAGAAAAAAACAACAAGCAAATAGGACATTTAAATAATATTTACCTTGTGGTGCCAAAGAGAACACTGATCATGCATCTCTTTGAAAAATATCTCTGCTGTATCAGGAATTAAAATGAACATATATTGATACTAGAAGGATGCTGGGCTAAATTCACATAATAAGATATAATAAGAATAAGGTTGTTACCTTTGTGTGTGATTAAAGCCACAAACATGCCTCTATTTTATGTGTAAATAGAATAATTGGTGGCCTTAGTCAGTCTCTCCCATCAATCATGCAGTGTAACATACATGAAACATCAAAACAACTGCAAAATAGTGAAGTAGCAGAAACAAGGGACAAATAAGGGTGGAAAAGTCACTGGCAGTGTACTGTCCTAGGTGTCAGTGGTGTTCAGAGTAATCTTTGTGTGGTGGTGTTCAGAGTATCTTTGTATGTAGGGACTTACATGAAAAGCATGGCACCTAGCATTGGAGCTCATCAGTAATTAAATAAGCAAGTAACACTGATGAATTGGATAAATAGCGTACTAACAGAGCTGATCATATTACAACTGTTCCTCCTGCACCAGCTACCAAAACAGTAATCATGAAATCACTGACATACCTGTCTAAATCTAGCCCTTAGTCACTCTAGCATGAAAGAAGTGCTCATGCCATTGTACAGAACACTGGTGAGACCTCACTTGGAGTACTGGAGACCGTATCTTCAGAAGGATATTGAAACCTTAGAGAGAGTTCAGAGAAGGGCTACTAAACTGGTTCATGGATTGCAGGATAAAATTTACCAGGAAAGGTTAAAGGATCTTAACATGTATAGCTTGGAGGAAAGACGAGACAGGGGGGATATGATAGAAACATTTAAATATATAAAGGGAATCAACACAGTAAAGGAGGAGACTATATTTAAAAGAAGAAAAACTACCACAACAAGAGGACATAGTCTTAAATTAGAGGGACAAAGGTTTAAAAGTAATATCAGGAAGTATTACTTTACTGAGAGGGTAGTGGATGTATGGAATAGCCTTCCAGCTGAAGTGATAGAGGTTAACACAGTAAAGGAGTGTAAGCATGCGTGGGATAGGCATAAGGCTATCCTAACTATAAGATAAGGCCAGGGACTAATGAAAGTATTTAGAAAATTGGACAGACTAGATGGGCCGAAGGGTTCTTTTCTGCCGTCACATTCTATGTTTCTATGTATTGAGGTAGACTAAATAAAGTGCTGGTACTGGATCGGATGTTATAGGAGGTGGGAACAGCCAGGGAGAGCATTTTGCTCAGGTAGGGTGGGAGTTTCCCAGAAAAGCTCTTAAACACAAGGCTGGAAAGATGAAGGGTGCGTCTGGATTCCAGCGACAGCCAGTTTAGCTCTTGTAGCATGTCACAATGGTGGGTCCTGTAATTACATTGTAGCACAAAACGGCAGAATGAGTTATACAATGACCATAACATCATAGTAAAAAAAAAAATGACTAGTAAAACAAAAAACTGCGGGTTAGAAACTGCCCGATGAGCATTTTGGTGCTAATATTACACCTTAAAAGTGTACCCATTATCCCAGTATTTTTATAACCTCCTGAGACGCAGCCTATTAAAGGACCACTATAGGCACCCAGACCACTTGAGCTTAATGAAGTGGTCTGGGTGCCTGGTCCATCTAAGGTTAACCCTTTTTTCTATAAACATAGCAGTTTCAGAGAAACTGCTATGTTTATGTTAGGGTTAATCCAGCCTCTAGTGGCTGTGTCATTGACAGCCGCTAGAGGGCTTTCGCGTTTCTCACTGTAAAAATCACAGTGAGAAGATGCCAGCGTCCATAGGAAAGCATTGTGAATGCTTTCCTATGGACTGGCTGAATGCGCGCGCGGCTCCTGCCGTGCATGCGCATTCAGCCGAAGAGGAGGAGAAGAGGGAGGAGAGGAGGAGGAGAGCTCCCCGCCCGGCGCTGGAGAAAGAGGTAAGTTTAACCCCTTCCTCTCCCGAGAGCCCGGCGGGAGGGGGACCCTGAGGTGCCAGGAAAACGAGTATGTGGCACTATAGTGGTCCTTTAACTTGTGTCCTCTCTACTGGACATTTTGTTCACATGCA